ATCGAACTCTGTAACCATTTTCCAAGAAATTAGGATTCCCCGAGAACGAACTTGCCGTCTCATCAGCGGTAGAATAGAAATTGAACTGCCACTAAATTTTCCTAAAATTTCCTAAATATTTCCAACATTTTAATATTTAAAAATTTATTGATTTCCAATTGTATCTCTTGATTGATCAGCTTTTTATTCCTCTGTGTCATCAAAATATATGCAAAATATATTCATCGCGGTGGAGTTTCAGGAAATGGTTTTGATCGTTGTTTATGGCGGCTTGTGGAAATTTATGATTAAAAGCTTGAGGGTTCGAAGGATCTTATTGTTATACAGGGTGTCTCAGCTAAACTGTTACAGAGCTTTCATTCCGTAACTGTTAATGATACAAAAAATTGTTGATATGGAAATTGCTGGAAAAAGGGGGCCTATTCTTTGAAATCTTGTTTTTAATGAATTTTCTCCGACTGCAGGAAAAAACGACGCTAGGGAATTCCTACGGTTCTAGTGGTAACATTGCTCAAGGCTGCCGTTAACGAAAGAAACACGGTGTTACACGGTCGGCTTGGTGGTGTGCGCTTGAAATTTGTTTGCTCGGCATGATCCGATTACGTAAACGCGATGGAATGTGTGCTTCTTAAGAAACGATTACAAGTTTCGTGGAAACGCTGCGGCTGCCGTTTCGCCCTCGTTCGAGTTGTAAAACTACTCCGGGGAAAATTGAAATAATTTCCTTTAATAACGGCTACGCGAATATAACGAAAAAGGAACTTTGTAAACCTTTAAACAGCCATCACCTCTGCACGCGATGAAAGAATCGTATTCCGCTTTTGGAAGTGATTTGCGTTTTGATAATTACTTGCGGCAGCTTGGAAACTTTATAACATTGTTGCACGTAATTAAAATGATACTTGGCTCATTTGTGACATTGTTTCGAAAGTTTGATGTTCATAAAATAAACTTTGAACGTTCAGCTTTTAAACGATAAGATCATCTGGATTCCAACTGCGAGCTTTAAGGGTTGAAATTCTAAGAGATCGAGCCTTTAGGAGTATTATATTTTTATCATACATATGATACAAAAACGTAGCTTTAAAGATCGAAAAGGTATTAAAGCTATATGTTAGATTGCAACTTTGTTGCGAATCCTTGCAGTGATATTAGACTCTTGAAGAGATTGTCCTTGAAGCTCAGACTCTTATGGAAACTTATGGTATACTTCACAATATCGTGTCATACCTTTGAAGCTACCCTAGCTTTTCTTCTCAATATTAAAACGTAAGACTCCTTGTAATATTGTTAAACGTTTGAAAAGCTGCATGATACCTCCCTTAGCAATGAATAACATTTTTGCAAAAAATTCTTTATACAGTATATGCTACAATTTACAAAATTGTTACCTTTAAAGACCCTTATGATGATGTTAAATTCGTCAGTTAATACTTTGACAGTTGTACGCCTGGTATTTTTCCACTGTTTAAAACACAGCAACCCTTAGGTAAAAAAGGGTTGCAGAGTCAAAACAGGGTAGACAGACGTGACGGTATATCGTGGTGGAAATTTTCAACGAACCCTCGGCTAATTTCCTTGCTGTCGTAATTAGCCCGCAGGAAGGACGGATAATTAGCGAGCTCGAGGTGATCGTGGAATCGGTCGGCAAAGGAGGGTGGACGGGGGTGGTTTGTCTGATATAACTTTATTCGAACGAAATCCTGGCTGGATCGGCCGCGTTGCGGGGAATTTCGACGGTGCTACGTAGGTTTGCGGACAGAACGGACGAAAAGGGGTTGAAGAGGCGGCGAGGGACGAAGCCAGGACATTGTTAACAGCATTGCTGCCTAATTAACCGCAAACGCTTTCAGTGGGTTTCGCCTGGTCTATTGTTTACATGCGGGCATGCCGCCTGTATGATAGTGCTCGACGACCGAACCAGCTGAAATATTTCCATGGAGATTCTCTGCCGCTTTGTGTCGTCCATGCACGCGTCTATCTGGATCGGAGGGTTAGGTTGGTCCTGCAAGCCATCCCGGAAGTAACGTCCACTCGTGGGGAATTCCTCGCTCTTCGGACTCGAACCGATCCTATCTTATATTCCGATCTTTTGTGGTTTAAACGTGATCTTCTTTACGTTAGAGATTCGTTCAGCTTCCACCTTCTTTGGATTTAAACGTATCGCGTTTGTGCATGGAAGGTAAAGGGATTGGGAAACGTTGGTAAAATTGTATAGTTAATAACAACACAGTAATACAAATTTTTATTTTTAAAGTACTAAATGGAAGCTTTACATATTAATCCGTTCGCCTATGATTTTTTCAATAGTTTAGTCAGACACAGCTATTTATTGCTTCAATTTTGAAACAAATAAAGAAAAATAAAATATCATGTATCCTTGATTGAGCAAATTATAATAATAATTAAATTCAAAATTCAGTTATACTAAAAATACCAACTAAATTTAACACATTTGAAATGTAAATTGCGTCACGAATATGACACGAATAGGGCAAGGGGTTAATATTATTCAGTGTCTGACTATGCGCTGATATTTCTACTGAATCAGTTAAATTATTAATATTCAAAGTATGAAGTGGACTCAAAGCATCAATTTCGCTAGTAATTTGAAATATTAAGCATTAAAAGTATCTATTACCATTTGAAACTTTTGTTCCTGTGAAAATACCATTCTACGAATTAATTGAAATGAAACTTCATTTCACCTATCATTTAACCGTTCGGTGGAAGCCGAAAATGCAACGGTATCCTAAAACTCTCTAAACTACGGGAAATTTGTTAGGAATGGCAACGAAATAATAGATTAATTACCAGCGCTCTCGTACCGTCTAACGAAACAAAGTATCGCCGCCTGTCAGAGGCACGGCTCGCCCGCGGCTAGGCGGTGGATCAGCTTTCATTAATTTTAATTGACGAAGGGAATCCGCGCAATATCGAGGAAAAAGTTGGCGTGCAAAGTGAGAGAGAGAGAGGTGGAGAGTTTCATTTCGAAGCGATTACCGAGCTAACGAGCTTTGAAAATCAAGGAAATTGTATCGCAGTCGTGGCCAGCGGAGTCGCTCGTCCAGTCAGAACGATTAGCGAGTTAGCCTCGCGAGTGATAATAAGCTCGGTACTTCGTGACCCCGTCCCCTCTTTCGCCTCGATGTCCTTAATTCTGAAAGCTCGTTGCGCGGTAAATAGAGCTTAAAATTAAACTTCCTCGGCTAAGTTTCTTATCGCGTGAAGAATCTCCGGTCTTTGTATAATGGGATCTCGTTATCAAGCAGACCCTTGTTTTTTACTCCAAACTGTGTGTGCACATTGTACAAGCATATTTTAGATCCTTAATATGCCTTCCATATACTCATGACTTATTTGAATTTTTCTTTTTATAAAATTTAACTGATTAGAATCAGGTTCTGTGACTGTTTTTCTAAGATCACTATGAATTCTACTTGTGTTTCTTCGCTCATCAAGTATTTTCAGTTTAATGTATGCATCACGTATGCATCTGGGGCTCTCATCGCTCAATTAGAAACGTGTTTCGTGTCCATAATTGCCTGCTTCGAGGTTGAACCATTTCTTTGTTGATAGTGGAGAGCAATTCTTGTGTCGTTCGTGAAGGAAATAATTCAAAACGTGCCTAGAGAAATAGAGTACTCTGCATGGAAATAGAGCACATTTTTCATACGTAAATGCTTGTTTCTGTTATAAGTTATATCTAGAGATTGTTTATTTTGGTGATATCTAATTTACGATTTACAAAGTAAATCAATTAAAATAAACACGTGCGATGAGGTTTTATTAATGTCAGGCTTGTTAAATTCAAATCTGAAACACGATTCTCGCGGGATTTCAAGTGCACGAGTTTGTATAAGCGTTCTCCAGAGAATTTTTCATAACACTTTGCGAATTAAACGTGTTAATGTGATTGTACAAAGCGATGCATCGATAATAACGGCATTCTATTGCCGAGAAAGCGGGTTGGAATCGAAACTGCTTTTCCGTTGTTCTCCGCGACGAGAGCAAGTGGGTCAAACGCGTATGCGATGATTAAACACCGATTGCACCCCTTCTTCATCTATCTCCCCAAGCTCGTTTGCCTCTTTTCCCCCCTCTCTCTTCCCTCTCTCTCTCATGGTGTTCGCGTTGAAAGCCATTATCACGAAAAGCTGCTCGATACATATATAAATGATTATAAATAACTGGAAATCGATAGGGAAAAAAAGCTCCAGTTAAACGACCGCTCGTAAATCAATCCGAGCGTCATTAATTTAATACGCGAACACCCGTCGATCCTGGCGCGTTGGAAGCAACGTGTCGAAACAGAGAGAAAAACCGACTATTAATTACTTTTTTAACACCTACGAGCAACGAAAGAACCGATTGAGGATCGTTTCAATAACACGGCAGGAAATAAACGGTTTTCCAATATTATTTGAAGCGTTTTCCTGTTCAAACTATACGTTATTATTCGACAAGTACAATTCGATCAACATGTCGAGATTTGAGTTTTAGTGTACCGTTGAATAACATTACATTAATTTAATAATTTTACAATAACCCAATAATTCTATAACGGAATATTCACACAATTAATTGCGTGTATTTACCCAACGCTGAAATTGCAAATTTCCTAAGAGTATACAATTCATTCTTCTCTCAAGAACCTTATTCCCCAAGAAGGAACAATTTCATTTCTCCTTTTAAAGGTTGAAGAACCTTCATAATGCTGGTAACAGGCGTTTCTCATAACCATAACGAAAAAGAAGCCAAGGATTTCCCCCTGCACCCTTCTTAAATATAGCTTTTATTGCTTATTCAGGGAACAACCAAAAGTATCTCCAAGAGAAACTGCAGAAAGATTCTCTTCATCTCTCTGTATATGTTTGTGTGTGTATATGTCCATGATACAAGTGGGTCCCACGTGAACGTAGAATACGCTTTTGCAAAAGAATATTTCTGTTCCTGGATGCCTTGGTAATAATTCTTACCGTAATTCCTTGGTTTCGCAGACTGAGACAAGACAAGGGTGGCGGTGCCTGGTGCCCGAAAAATATGGTCACAAAAGAGGGCAAGGAGTACCTTGAGGTGAATCTACACAACCCTCGTATACTGACGTCCACCAAGACCCAGGGAAGATTTGGTAACGGTCACGGGGTCGAGTACACCGAGGAGTACTTCGTCGAATATTGGCGACCAGGGTTCAACAAGTGGGTGCGATGGAGAAATCGACGTGGCATGGAGGTACGTACACACCTTCTGCCTGTTGGCTCACGATCGATTCGAACCTTCCTTTTTCTCTCACTCTCTCTTTCTCTCTTTGAAACTCTCAACCTCTCTTTTATAGTAGTCGCGAACGAGGCACTCGAGAAATTTGCGGTCTAGCTGGACTCATTTCGGTTTGCTAGTAAACGATCGTTATGGCGTGTTAAACTGGGGTACATCTTGCAAATTATTTCCTCATGATACGGTAATTTTCAACGGGATCGTTAAGTAGAATTTGTTGTTAATTAACATCGAAATAGTTAATAGTGTACACGATAATGTTACATGAAAGATAACGCGTACAAAATATTGGTAAGTAGTGTAAGTGATAATGGTCCGCGTATGGTCAGACGTAGCTTGTAATCTTTTATTGGCCGCGTTATGAAGGTAATTTTCAGTAAAAAAAATTTCTCGAGTTTACTTTGAAGCTGTAGTAAAAGTTTACGAGCAATTTCATTAAAAATTTTTAAGATGTTCTCCCATTAACTCTTTTAAAAGTGATTAAAGACGAGACGTGAAAGGCTTCTACATAAAACAAACTTTGTTAGGTAAGAAATCTTGTCGGTGTTATAAATGCGCCCGTAAATTTTCCTAATGAAATTAATGAGTTATTCTATATCTGTTTATGAAAGTTAATTTACTAATTGCTGCGAACATAAATAGGTACATGGAAACGACATCCTTTTTCTATTTGTTGCAAGGTAATTTTCCGAAGTATTATTTTACAAACTTTTCATTTTATTCAAATAAGAAAGAAACTTATTTACATGACATAAATAACCATATCGCGAACGTGTTAATTTTAAACCGTGGCCAACATCAGCCTCGCCGATTTAAAGCTCCATTTCTAACTACCGTAGTTGCCGGCATTAAGCCGGACTTTCCGTATCCGTGGCACGAACCAGTGGATTTTTATACGAAAGCCCAATTATAAAGCAATTTCGCGACGAGAACGAACCGTGCCGGTGGAGTTAATGCGGTGCCAATCTTTATAATTGCTCTCGTCAAGGAAATCGGATTACGGTTTTAGCCTGGCTCCAGGGTGGGGAACAAAGAGTCGCTCGCGTAATTCCATTCTTTTGAACGAGAAAAATCTACACGTATCGCGGAAGCTTCGTACCGATTGCCTCGAGCCAGTTCATCCATTTGTACGTATACCGAAACGGTGTGTTTCCCGCCAAATTCACCTGGTGCATCCGCCTATAGTGAACCGGTGACCGGTGTAAGCGGCCGTTACAACAGGACGATCCGTTAATTAACGTCTCTTTAGCATGATAATCCGTACGCGATATCCATTAGCTCGTCAAAATACATAATGCCAGGTAAAGCGATTTACCAGTCACGATGAAATTAAGGGAAACAGGGCTGGCTCTTGGAGCCCTCGCCATGAATTATCGTTACCCTACCGTTTGAGGACATACTGAAACTATTATTCATGATAACGATGAGAAGGAAGCTTGTATATTGGAATATGGATTGAGAATTTGATATTGTACAGAATATTTTGTGTAATCAAGTATAGAACTGCATCTTGCATTTTTTATACCGGATATCTTTACAAGTACGTATTGCATTTTAAAATTTGAAACGGAAGTCTTTCATTTTAAATAACTTACTGTCTGCCATTAAGATTCAGAGGGTAATTATATTGTCAATTTAAAGGTTCTTTAAATTTATAATTAAAAGCTTTCAATTTAAATTAACACAGAAGATTCTATTGCATAAAATATCACTTGATCCTTCGACTTTCGTATTTGTAGATTAATTTTATATTTTACCTGACTTGCCACGAAAATCTCTTGCTTATCTTAGGTACACGTACTCTTGAAGTTAAACGGATTTTCTCGAAAACTACTGTTGCAAACAGTTCAAAGTAAAAGCGGTTATAAAAAAAAGATTCTTATAAAACACGGCACTTGAAATTTTCTTTCATGAATCACCTAATAAAAAATTTCATGGTACTTTAATCTTGATGCTTCTGTCGGCTTTTCTTGAACACCTGTAAATTCAAGTTGTAAATACTTGAAAATATTTCCAAGTGCCCTATTTACAACACTGTAAACAATACACTCGAGTTTGCGTCAGAATTTCATGAACCAAGTGTTTGATTAAAAGCCTGAATAGCAATCGATCAATCAAAATGGAAAGATCAATATGCGTTTCGTCTGATATCGAGAATAAGAGTCGTTTTTATTCGCGAGCCACAAGCTGTATCAGTAAATGGAATTTTAATGGTTTCGCGATAAAGGAATTGCATTTATTCTATGATTGAAAGTAACCTGGTCGTAATCAATCGTGCTACGTCCATTCTTCGATTTCTCCTCTGTTTCTTTCTCGAATAATATAGCTCGATAGCGAACATGAATTGCTGGTTGTAAATGGACAAAATACCGTACTTGTATCAATAGGTTCGTTTTACATTTATCGACAAGCGAACGAGTTTCTTTTGCTGAGCGATTCGAATTGTTGAACTTTGGTCTAGAATATTGGAAAAATTGAATTTTATACCAGCTAGCAGCTATTGTATCAGTACTTTGATGGTGACTGTTACGTATTCGTGATTTTGACATTTAGTTAACTTTTTATTCATCTAATCTGAAACTGATTAAAAATGAAAAATTGCAAAAGTTATAAATTCCACGGTATTTAATTTTTTTATACTGTACTGTCATCGAGGTTTTATTATACAATCTGAAAAAGCCTGCAGGATCTGCTTTCTCAATTCATAATAGGCTTAAGCTTACCTAAGTCTCGAGAGATCTTGTCTCAATAACCAATAAACCTGATAGAAAATTCACTTACTCAGGTTGATCTTCAAACACGTATTTTCATATTCAAAAAGAGGGACAAAAGAATAAATTCTCAATCCGATACAAAATCTAAATAAGAAATAAGATTCGAAAGACTCGATGGATCGTTTCACGATTCCTTTAAACCAGTTTTCTCGAAAGACAGAAAAAACGAAGTCGAACAATTTGTACGGTAAAAAGTTTGTGCAACGAAGTAGCATAACTTACCCTGATATCTCGATACACATTGGCACGCAAAGAAAACAGCATTCAGTTAAAGTAGTTCTCGAAAGTCAGTACAAAGTTGTTTGGCCAACCTGGAGTCTCGTTACCCGAGCCTCTCTCAAGCTTTCTCGTGTTTTCCATCCTCGTTCATTCCCTCTGCTTATCTTCGTCGAATCACACACGACCACTTCCGGATACACACGGCATCCTGTGTCGTGGTTGCTCGGTACAAGGCTCACAATTTTCACGCGGGCTCGCTAAAGCGACGGAGAATCAGCCAGGATGAGAGGTAAAGGACGGACAAAGAGAGTGGAAGATAGACGCGGCGAATTTAAGAGAAAACGGAAGTCAGACAAGGATAAGGAGGGAACGCGTTTACCTTGCAGCCTCAATCTGGCCGGTATGTGATCTTTGTGCTCGAGCTCTTTTCCTTTGCTCCTTTGAATACGAGCGTGGAAGAACAAGGAAAAGCTTGCTTAGAGAAGCGTCAGAGGATTGAAAGGAGAAAGATAGAAGGGTAGAGATGAGGAGAAAGCAAAACGACTGTGTTATCGCCGGCTTGTACGTGACCCAACACTTCCACAGGCATTTTTCCACGCTCGAGAGAGGAACGGGGTAACAAGCGAGCACAACTAGAAACCGGCTTTTCCGTTTCCCCGAACGTACGGCCAGAAATTTCCATGCCGTTACGATTTCCTTTTACTCGTGAAATATATTAAATAAGAGAAAAGGAAAGGACGGAGTAAAATCGAACGTACCAGCCGGAGGAGTGGTTAGAAAATATTTCGATACGGTTTCTGAAGTGCTTTGCCACCGGTGATGCACGTACGTGTGCGGATCGACGTTGGCCAAAACACATTTCGGGCTGAAACACAGGGGGGCGGAACGTACAAGCACGGCTTGTTTCGAGAAAAATACGCGTATTTACCACGAACGCAATTTTCTTGGATATAAACGATGCGAACGGAGAGATGAAAGGGCTCGTAAAGGGCTCTGATAAGCAAGGGTAAGGGGTCGTTTACGAAATACTTTGCAAGAAATACGCGGGAATTAAAGAATGTGAAGTATAGTAAAGAAATGGGTAGTGGAATTTTATGGGGTTGATGGTGCTTGATATAGTGAATGAAAAATTTAGATTTAGGTGATATTATATTTTTATATATCTGGAAATAATGTTTCAAGGGTTCTTTTATTTTAACGCACCCTTGTAGTAGGAGTAAGAGGAGCAAACGTAAGACATAATCTTTGGATCTAATATTAATTCCTAAAGCATTTTCTTAAAGGAGAGTTGTTCGTGTAACACGTGTTTTGACCCACATTTCGCCTCGCCTTTAAGTCTCTTACGATATTTCCCTTTCAATTCTCCTTTTCGTGCGCGAGCACCGAGAACCTAGTCACGAAAACGCATTAGGAGCACGGTCGAGCGGGTCGCGGCGGAATTAAGCCGAAATTCGCATTTGAATTCAGGTAAAAACGATGGAAGAGCTGCCAGTATATAGATGCATTCTGATGGAAACGGAAGGGAATGCGATGGAGCCGACTAGATATCGTCTCTTTCTTTCGTGTTAGGCTGCTCGTTGTCGTGGTTAGACTGGGACAATTGCCAACGGTGAACGTGTTTCATTACCGTCGACGTACCAACGACGATGGAACTCTTGGACCAGCTTCATTTGCGGCGTCCTTCCATCGGTGTTCGTTATAGAACAAGCAAGAGGAAATTAAATAATCTTCGTGGAAAACACTTTGAACAAATCGTCGCCAAGTAACTCTGATAGTAAATTATTTTCTTGGAACACTAGTGATATAAGGAGTACTGAATATTGAAAATTAAACGACTATGTATTTCTTAGATATATACAATGCAAGGCTAAGCTTATTCAACCCCCGGACGGCGGACCATGGAGAGAGGTCCAATTCAAATGATGTTTATTCCCTAAATTTTACACTGTTCCTTTTTTACAAATT